ATTTAGCTTGAAGATGTTCGATTGGAATTTACCACATGTCATGGGCAGCGTGTCACAAAACCCTCATATGTACAAGCTTACCGACAACCCAATAAATGTATCAAATTTAACAAACCTTTTAACAAGGGGTGCCAGTTTCAGGAAAAGATACAGTGTACCTTAACTGGTCTTGATAATGATATACATATTTGGTTATACACTGCTAGTATCACCGATTTGCTTGTGTGCTTTTGTTTTGCACAGCCTTTTTGTTGCTTTTAATTTGCTGATAGGGTACATGTTCTTTTACATTCAATGATCTTTAATTTGTCCCAATGGGGATCAGAGATCAGCACCAGCAACAAATGCTCTGGGATTTATTTTGTCAAAGTAAAGGGTTAGGTTTGCAAATGGCTTTAAGTTGGATTTAAGTTGTACACATTCCTATCCTCAGTGAGATTAAGGTACATGTTCATGTACCAAGAAGTGTTTATATATATGAGGAATAATCAATAACCAATTACCCCTCCCCTCCTGCCCCCCCCCCAAAAAAAAAAAAAAAATCTAGTAAATTTAACAGGCACCCTTTGCACTTAAACCCTATGCATGCATACATGTACATTACATGTAGATCATGTGGCTTGTGGGCATATTGTACATGTATACTGAAGATGGAAATCCCCTTTGCTCGTCATAGCTGGGTGATAAGCATTGTTCACTCCATGACTGTGCATTTTGTAAAGAGTTATAAATACCCAGTCTAGACAATATAAACTATAAATGCATATATGTTATTATGTTATTTTTTTTGGCAGGTGCTATATACAGGTGTAGTGTTGTACATGTATGTATGTATAGCTGTAAACCATATCATCTACATGATTTGCCTGTAGGCGTATTTGCATAATACATATTGTGTATATGTTGGCTTACATGTATTCACAGTCAAGGGAAATTTTTACGTTATTGTTAATTCAGTTGAATTGACTGCATGGTTTAATTTACACCTGTTGATGGGCTATGTACATGTACGTGTACAGCCTGCTTGTGCATTTAAAGGGAATTCCCTATGTACATGTACATGTATACATCATCATGTACTCTGTTTGAATACAGAGGGAACCCATTTACTTCTGAAATCTCTCATTCACATAGGGTTAATGCACAAAAACCTTCTTTAGGTAGGCAATGAGTTAATCATAGTGGATCAGGAAAAAAAATGAGATCTGTGAAAGTTATAAGAAAATTCTGGGCAGACAAATTTGGAGTTATAATTGATCAAATATAAATTGTCAACTCTGATTTATTATGGCAGGAGTTGTTCTATTTTTCTCCCAAGAAAATATTTCCTCACAATTTTAACCTGAGATAAACTCCTGGACACAGCATTTAGTAGAATAGCAACAATGCTCTTTTCTTCTTCTAAATGAATGGGGGGGGGGGGGGGGGGGGGTCCCTTAAATCCACCTACATGTACACTGTGTAGATGAATACTTTATAAACAAAAATTTGTACTAACTTGTTTGTTTCCATTAACTGTTCTTATTTAAGATACATTTTTTGTGTTTGAACATTACAGCCTCTTCGAGAATGTGAATCCAAAACCACTGGTGATTTTGATACTGAATGTGATGCGGACCTGTACGTCCCTTCTCTACCGCTCTGTGGCAGAGGGCAAAGGTTGAATAATGAATGTGTGACTACAAGCCAGGTTTCAGAAGCGTAAGTACATGTATAACGTACAAGGGCAAGAGGTATAATATCATACAAATATACACTTTCTTGAGAGGTTCTGGTTGAAACTATGGGCAAGAGGTGACTCCAATAGAACTATTTGCTGAGGGGGGCGCCCGGGAGCAGATGGTACTACAGACCTGCCAACCAGTACTATTTAGTCGTATTTAGTACGATTTTTAGAAGCAAATACGACAGTACGATTTTCAAAACAATTTTTTTTTTTTTTTTTTTTTTTTTTTTTTAATTAATATTTTGTATGTGCGTCCGCCATTTTCAATGGCAAAATGTCAATTCTGTCCTGTAAAGTATCCTACAAGCATCTCACATCGGCAATTTGGGGATGTTTATTGGTTCATCGAACACATCAGTCGTGACGAAATAATGCATATTCAACCAATGATCAATAAAAAAAATTCTTCCTGTAGGTAGAAACTGTAAGAGGCATTGATCCGCGTAAAAATCTGTGTTTATTTTCAAGAATACAACTTTTGTCAGTAAAATACAACTTTTGACACTAAAGAATACAGTTTTTGAACTCCAGAGGTTGGCAGGTCTGGTACTAGTGGAGTCGCCGAGGCCCATAGTTATAACTAGTACCTCAAAAAGAAGGCAGGGTATAGATCCTGCATTTTAAAAAAAAATATTTAAAAACATTTCAAATTTTAATAAAATTTATTTAATGATAAGAAATTATTAAACAAAACAATTGTACACTATTTAATATTTTAACATTTCACATTTTTAATAAAGTTATTAAAAAAAAAAAAAAAAAAATCAAATACCAAATACGTGTAGTTCTTTTTCAGAGCAACCTTAAAATTCTTGAAATATTTCTGGTCACGTGAAGAGCTCAACCATCAAAAACCGATACATTTTTGATGCAGGATATAATATAAACCAGTTCATATATAGCTACAATCTGTGCATGGGCAGATATACTAAAGTTGTAAAACCCACCGAGACTAATACTGGATGCGTGGTCGTGACAGTTTATAATTATTATTCATTTATGTACCTATATGGTACAATGGAAAAAAATACACGGAGGCTCAGGGCGTTTTAGCCGAAAGTCTTAAAAGAGCCCCCAAATTTTGCATAGAGTTCAATGCAAAACAAATTAAAGAGTGTTATTTTCATGCAAGCAAGCTTGAAAAGTAGCTCGCAAAATATTTAAATTAATTTTTTCTCTGCCGGGTACATTCTATGGAACACAGGTGGAAGTATTTTTCCCAATAGGGCAAACAATATTCATGAATCACCTCCATCACTTACCGGTAGTCTAAAAGGCACAAAGTGGGATTTCTCTATGTGTAAAACGATCTGTGGATATTTGAGGTCATTTGAAGGCCTATATGTGCTAAGTACCGGTACAAATTAGTCTATGAGCCCTGATAACTTAAACACTGAGGGAAATATTGTGTAAGCTCACCTACAGAGGAAAGAACACCCAAACAAGATTATTTTTGACCAACAAATATAATAATACTACATGTGTTGTCCGTCAATTTCAAGTATAAAAAAACAAAGTAAGTAATAGATATCAATGCTATATTAACTTGAATGGCAGGACTTGTTTTTAAGAGTGCATTCAACACCAAAATATATCTGAGGGGATTAAATCTCGACAGGGACCTTAAAATGTGTTTTACATATCATATCCGGATTGGAATATAAGCCTACAGTGTATAGCCTTGATTTAGAGTTACCTTCAAATGTGCAAACTGAACATGTTGATGAGACGGTGATATATCTGTCACATTTGTCTCTTTTAATCTTGAGGCCAACAAATTCTATTCCAAAACACTCTTTAAAAAAAAAATTAAAATTATTTTATCTTTACAGGTGCACGTCTTGTAAGCCTGGCTTTTTCCAGGAATATAACAACAAGTGCAGAACATGTCATCAATGCAGCGTGTGTGGCGCTCAGCAGAGGACTGTTCAACCTTGCAATGCAGAACAAGATACAGTTTGTAAGGATCTGGATCCTACTCCTGTCTATTCTCCAGAGACTGATATTCCGTCCAGTTCTACAGACACAGAACCCCCAAATACAGCAGCTCCGTCCAGTTCGACAAACACTGATGGGACTGCTTCTGGAACGACCCCTGGAAGGACGAGCACCTCCAGGCCCACCACGGCAGCTCCGGACGATCCCCCCATCTTGACCACTGGAGAAGATGGTCATACATGTACATGTAAAGTGGACACATCTGCTCAAGATGGTTTGTTAATTTTGTTTGTATTACCCTGTGTTTTCAATTTTTTTTTTTCATGAGTTGTACTTTTATTCTTATACCTTAAGTCATAATGCCAGAGGAATCACGTTTTCATATTTTTTTAAATTAATTGTATTAGTATTTTTTAATAATGGATGTACAATTTTTGTGTATGCTTTATACGCTTACTTTACTAGTCCAAAATGGATGATTAAAGGTACTATGTCCCTTTTGCAGCCAACATCAAATTCTGTAGAACTTTGCAGGAATTATGAATATATCATGTTTGTCCTATCTATGAAATTTGAACGTTAGCAGTGTCCTAATATTCAAATTATGCAAGGAAAGCTGTTTACTTGCTAGACTTCACTGTCAGATACTATTGAGTGACTGACTGGCTTTTTTCTTCTTTGGTAATAACTTACATAAAGTGAGCTGTAAAGGGTACATGAGCATTTGTCTACATCAATAACCCACTTCTTGTGATGGCCAAAATTAAACTGATTGAATCTTTGCGCAGCATAAAACATATGACCATTAGGTACAATGGTCTGAAAATCAAGACTATTACTTATTGGTTCTATAGCTCCTAAGTCGATTTGACAAGTAATAGTCATTATTTTTCCACTTGAAGACATTTTCAAGCCCCACCTTTTTTAGGGAAGTTCTAAATTAGTATTATCTTTCAAATGCCGTTGGAATTTAACCTTTTCATTTTGTTTGGCCTGCAAATGGGACATAGTACCTTTAAAGCATGATTTAGGCCATATACACCACAGTTACATTATAGAACCTTATATATAATGATTTGAGTCAAATGTTTGCATGTTGTTCACACAAATCATCAAGTATTGTTTGCTCTGTATTTTTCTTTTCTTTCATGTTAAATAACTCATCTATGATATCCCCATTTTGAAGAAAAAAAATGTTTTGGTTGAGTAATTTTATGTCTTTCACAAACATGCAGGAACTTGCAAAGCAGTCATCCCTCTTGTCATATGTGTGGTGCTACTTTCCTTCCTTCTTGCTGTGGCAGTGATCTGTTGTGTCTGCTACAGGAATAAATATATGGGTGAGAATTATTTACATATAGTTCCAAGTGTTCCATATATTGCGCTCTTGCTGCATGCCGCTTGTCATTTTCCCTTGAATGATGAGAGAGAGAGAGAGAGAGAGAGAGAGAGGGATAGAGTGAGAGAAAGCGAGAGAGAGAGAGAGAGAGAGAGAGGGATAGAAAGAGAGAGAGGGATAGAGTGAGAGAAAGCAAGAGAGAGAGAGAGAGAGAGAGAGAGGGATAGAAAGAGAGAGAGAGAGAGGGATAGAGAAAGATATTGACAGGGATAGAGAGGAAGAGAGAGAGAGAGAGAGAGAGAGAGAGAGAGAGAGAGAGAGAGTGAGAGTGAGTGGGTGGTTCCTGTATTAACCATATGGGGAATATGAGTTTTCAGTTGTCAATTGGTTAAAATCATTTGTCTTTGTCTAAAAATGGTCTTTCAATGTGAAGAAAATGAAATGTCATTTACCATAGTCTATTTCTTGATTAATATCTGTGATTCCTTCAATCTTTACAGCAAACCAGAGAAGAATTCCCGTTAACAATGCAGATGAGGACATTGAAGGCCAGGATCCCAGATATACTGTTAGGGAAGCCATTCCGATGGATCCATTTCATTTGGAAAACGGTGGTAAACCTCCTTCACCACCTGTTTCACCAGTCCGTCCTCCTGAGAGACCAGATGGAGGACATCCTCAATGCTCATTCCCTAATGGACTAAACAACGGACATCCTCGACCTCCTCTTACCCATGATGAGCCACTGTATGCTACTGTCAACAAAACAGGTAAGTGATATGGGTCACATGTTTTTTTCTAAAGGTTTATATTTCTGAGGGGTTAATTTTTACTTTAAATCAGAAGGTTTGTAAATCTAAAATAGGAGTAGGATTCATAAGATCACTATTGACAGAAAGTCCTATATGAGTATTATTATTATTGTTGTTGTTCTTATTAATGAATTGTTATTAATGCTTAAAGTTTAGTTCTTGTGATGGGGACAATCAAATATTAACCTAATCAAATAAACATTACAATCATTATTCTTATCCTTACTACTTTTTTTTTAGTATTGTCATTAAAACTTATTATTATCATTACTATCATTATTATCATTATCATGTTTACATTCAATCTATTTTTACATTCATTTATTCAAACAGGAAATTTGTCCAAAACAGTAGCTGCAGACCTACAAAGACCCACGTCTTCCTCAGGACATTGTCACAAGAATGTTGTCTGCAAGACTATGTGCAAGGTGTTGAACGGTAGAAGGAAAGGGGCTGGGAAGAAGGAAACAGAACCTGGCTCCGTAGTTGAGAAGGGTCGTCTTCTGAGCCCTGGTCCTGGTGAGTAGTATTCTTTTAGCAGGGAACAAGGGGAAAGTAACTTCTGGGGGGCGTTTCACAAAACATGTCATCAGTGACAAATGACAGCTTTGTTAAAAGCTACTGTAATCCTTGCTTCTGATTGGATATCAGCAGATTTGTCACTGATTTTTTTCATTTGTCAATGAAAAAAGCCTTTGTGAAAGGGGTCCCAGGTTACCTGACATTTGGTTCTGTGACATGTGCTCCAGCTTTATTTCGTCAAAGGAGTAGGGGTATTCTGTAGGCTTACGGTTTCACCACGTGAGAGAGGGGGAGGATTGGGGAGTCCTGAAAAGGACTGTCGGTAATCTTTCTTTCTTGAGTGTGTATGTAGTCCTGAAAAGCCTCCTGATGATGGATAGTCAACCTGTTCAAAACGTCGAGCCCCTCCAACTACCCGTCCTCTCCAACCAGCGCTATAGTTCTCTTTAGAACTATAAGCTCAAAGAAAGATTACCAACAGTCCTTTTCAGGACTCCCCAATCCTCCCCCTCTCCCACATGGTGCAACCTTAAGCCTACTGTATCTCTACATCACCATGCAAGCCGATACTTATAAGCAGGTATAGGGTTGCGATGGGGTTTTAAGTTAGGTTTAGGAATAGGGTTAGGTTTGAAGAAAAGAATTTGGTTAGTGTAAGAAATTAATATGACAATGGTCACAGGAGCAAGTGTCGTACAACTACACTCAAACATCTCCAATGGCCTTCACAAATGTAAAATCATTTTTAAACTTTCAAATTTGCACCAGTCATCCTGTTAGGAAATGTTTATGTAAGTCTGTATTTTTTCACTCTCTCTTTCACTCTCTCTTTATGCTCATGCAGATCTGTAACATTTTGTTAAAAAAACACATTTATCCTATCCTTTGTTGGTTTTTCTATACATTATTTATACACTTTTTGTTAAAAAATGTAAATATCTAAACTTTATAGTTGGTAATTATTCACCTTTTCCTTTAATTTCAGAACCTGTGGCACTTGATGATCATCAAGCGTTAGGAGGATCAAAGAGATCACAACCTATGCATGGTACAGTACCAACACCATCAGTCTTGCCCACTGCATCGCCATCTCCATCTCCTCCACCCACACCCCCTCCTCCAACACCACCACTGCCGTCACCATCATCATCGCCATCATCATCACCACCCCAACCATCACCGCCATTGTCACCACCATCATCATCACCATCAACATCACTACCACCACTGCCATCATCACCATCATCATCATCATCATCATCATCATCATCATCATCATCTTCATCATCTTCATCACCACCACCACTGCCATCACCATCATCACCACCACTGCCATCCCCATCATCATCATCACCACCACCCCCATCATCATCATCATCACCATCACCACCATCAGATGGCATTCCAGCACAGGAGAATGGTTTAGGGGAAGGTGATGTTGAGAAAGACAATGGGGGTGCTGCTACCAAGGAAGGGCATGACACCAATGCCCATTCTCCAGGGGAAGAGACTTCATCTACAAGTTCCTCAGTGGGCGCCAAGGTTACCAATGATCTTGTAAGGGGAGCAGAGGGTGGTGCCAGCAGCCTACCACCAGTGACCCCTGGAGTGAAGAATCTTCCAGAACCAGGAGATGAGGTTGGAGAGAAGAATGAGGAGGAGCTCAAGAATAAATCCATCAACCCAGGTTGGTTTCGTTTTTAACTTTGAAATAGTGAGGAAGGCTCGATGTTTGTAACCTATATTTGCTCTAAGCTCTTATTAAAATTCATGTATATCTTTCATTAATTAAAGTACATGTATTTTCAAAGAAACAAAGCATAGGTTATAAAAATATGCTTCATTTCCTTATCCCATGTACAGTGTACTTATATATGAAGAGGATATGTTTATGATGCGCTACATTTAATTAAAACTGTGATTTCCCTGAAGATATGCAGGCATTTATGAGAATTTGCCCTTATTCGAGGAGAGGGAGGTAATTTTCTGTTTTACAGTATTATACCACCTACCGGTATATAACTTTTCTTTTTTTTTTGGATTTTTTTTTTTGGATTTTATTTTTATTGAATGCCTATCTCAATAGATTGAAAATGAAGGAAATTACCTGTCAATGCCTGGAACTTATTATCACAAATTATTTGGTTTACTGTTCAAAAAATATTTCAGCATTCATCTCTTGACTTGGTTTTGGTTAGCCTAGGCCTTTTTTTGAATGCTTTGCAGAATCTTGAGTCATCTTTTCAATTTGTCCCCTATTTTCATCTTTTTTTCAGATGAGATTGTGTCAGAGAATTTTCTGGATGATGTAACAGACGTAATTAACCTGACCTCGTTGGAGCGGATCAGTCGCAAATTCGGCCTCACACAGGTAGTCATTGACAACCTGAAAGACTCGTTGCGGAATACTAGTCCAAAGAACATTGGATTCCACATTCTACAGGCTGTCCTCAAATATCAGGGATGCAAGTTGACATTCCGGTGTTTGTTAACAGCCATCAGAGACTGTGGTAATAACAACGCTGCTGATAAGCTGATCGCTACATTCAGGATCGACTTGAATCTCGAGAAAAGATGACAAGCTGGACCGACATGTCCATAGATATGTACTGGTAATAGGAAGTCCATCTGAAAAAGTGCATGACTGGGTTCAGTTGGTTCCTTCATTGGATCTTCATTAGGAATGATGAGAGTTCAATCTCTTCCAGAGCATTCCAGCTGTAGACTTGTCGTAAGTGGAATAGTTTAAAGGGAGTGTATCATGATGAGACTATGTGTCTATCCCGTGGCCAATCGGGTATAATACGACTACGGACGATGTGACCGCAGTATTCATGCGCGTGCACGAATAGTGAAGCGTGAGGAGAACTTCGGTCTGTTTCACGAACGCCAACGCGCTGACCCAGTTAATCAAGTCCATTCGTTTACGTGCAGTTGTCCAAAAGAAGACGTAGATGGCATCAACCAGTAATTCCCATGATACACTCCCTTTAAACAATTGAATTGAGATGCAGAGGTTATGGGTTCAATCCGTGGCATGGCACTTATGTTGGAACAACAACAAAAAAAGAAAGATTTTTTTGATTTTTTGTTTGAAGTAATTTTGATTTGTGTACATGTACAGCGCTTTGAAACTTGTGTCACAAGCGCTATATAAATTTGTCTTATTATTATTATTATTAACAAAGAAACATATTCCTATTGAAAAAGAAAACAAACAAACAATATGATATAGGTATGTTTACCTAGCTATTGGCAACATGATATCAGATTGTTCTGTGTACATGTTGTAGGTGTTTAATGGCTGTTGCTTATATGGTCCTCTGTAAGTTAACCATTCAAACACTGTACGGTAAACAGTGTGATTTATGTACAAGATGAAATAGGCATTGTATTTGCCGCATGTATTCTCCCATGAAAGTGGATTCAGTATGAGAGATGCTTGCATACAGTACAAAATATAGAGTACCTTTGTATAGCTGTTGACAGTAATCTGCATGATGTATTTTTATATTTACTGGGATCAGTGCACATCTGTCTTTTGTACAGTACTGGCCGTGGGCAACTTGCCAAAGAAAACAAAATGAAATATTGATATATGTAGCGTAAATATGAAATATTGGTATTTGTTTGTAGGAGGTATGAGAAGATATGAGAGTGTCTGCATGACTCACCAAATGAAGGCTAAAGACATGAAGGCTTGAAGAAGTATGCTAAGGGAAACTAAACGTCCAAGCCCAAATCATGGGACTAACGGACGCTAAACAACAACGACGATGATAATGGTGATGATGAGTGTACAGCATTTTGGCCATGGTGCATACATTGATGACCCTCGCATCATTTTTACGTACATGTATGTATGTGTTTTGAAGGATTAATATCCAGCATTTACTAGATAGTACAGTCAGTAACTACAAAACAGTGGGCTGTATAACAAGTAACTTATTTTTGTAGTATTTGTACAAAAATTTGTACAAGTGTTTTTGTATTCATATGTAAAGTACAGTATGTAATTTATGGTCCATCATGGAAGGAAACGAATGAGCGTGACTTTTGTATGGAGTGGACATTATTCATGGATGTTTGTATTCATTTGGATAAAAAGAAGAAAAAAACAACAGCAAATAAATAACTTTCAAAAATATTTATTAAAAACATTGAAATAATACAGGAATGAATAGATTTTGTCATATGTTTGTAAAATGTTTGTCAAGTGTTTATTGACATGGTATGAAGCCTATTTTTACCACTTGTAATATCGAGAGGAGAAATTGCAATGGCAAAAGATATTTCTTTTGTACGTTGTATGAGGAAATTCATGACGTGGAGGAACTTTTCTCTGAGCAAAGATGCTAAAGAATCAATTAATGAAAATACGAAATGAATATTCATGTATATAGTTCCAGGTTTGTTAAACAGTAGATAATGTGCTAATTAAGAGAGTGAAAAACACATGCCTTTGTTGGTCATACTCTGGACACAGTGCAAGTTTTAGATTTGTAGATTTTCATATCTTGGACATCTGTAGTACCATCCAGGACCATCTATATAATGTATACAGTAACTATGTAGATTTATGCTATGCATATAAATATTTCTGTGATGTTTCTGATAAATACGTTTGTCAATAATTGTGGACAGATATGTATAAATTGTTATGGATAGGTAAATGTTAGTGTATAGATATTAATCTGTTTGTTTAAAAAAATATGTAACGGTAAATCACTGTTTCAAGCAGAGATATGACAAATGCTGTAACTCAAAAAGTGCTCTATGCAAACTTGTGTGAAGGGACAGTTTCTTTAAGCAATATCAAATGTATTCTGGACAGATTAAAAAACAATATTTAAGAGTTTATGAAAGTTATATCATATACCTTTCTGAATATAATTTCACATAGTATATCAGAGTATGAAAAATGATATTATTACTATTATTGTTATTATTGTTATTATAATTTGTTTTAAATTTATTAGTACTAATTACCGGTGTCATTGTTGTACAACTTGAGATTATACTTTTTTGGAGGGTGTTGAGTCTTGTTGAGGGCAATTGAATTGAATTAAATTTTTTCATTTGTTATAAACACCTTTGTTTTTGCCGAAATTATTATGCATTTAAGATAGGCCTACCTTCCATGAAGCTTGTCTTAAATGTACATGTATCTCTATTCATTCTTACATGTAAACTTACTGTAGTGTAATAAGACACGTCTACTGCCAATTTTAGTCGTGAGACATGTGCAGGGCTATTCATTACAGCTTCTACCCATGTATTGTGTCATTATAGTGGTATATGTAAAAGTGATGCAAACAAAAATAGAAAATGCAGAGATTTTGTGGTCTAGTGGGTCCAACACCTGACTGTGGTTCTCACAAGACATTAATCTACATTTGCCACTCTCCACCCAGGTGAAGTAAATTGGAACCTCATTGGAAATTAGTCCTTGAAAGCTATGAGTGCCTTTGAACTTGAAGACACCTTGAGTATCCCTTGGATGGATATGTGCGCTACTATGAATGTAGCAATTGTTATTTATATGCATTTTTCCCTTATTTTTTTACTTATTTTTATATGAAATTTTGTACTGAAAATTAGCAGTGAAAATAAATCTATGTTTTGCATTATTTTGAATAAAATTATGAAATATTGACTGCAATCGATTTTACTTGGGATGAGCTATTTGTTTTGTATTCTCAAATCTACATGTATGAACAATAATAAGATTTTATTTATTCTTAAAATTCCCCTTCCACAGGGTTATTTTGATTAATTATCAGCAATCATTTTCACAAAAGATAGATACATGCACTATTCCATGAATTGTCACATAAACATTCAAACAATAAAATATTACAAAATAACCTTGGCCGCACAGCGACATATGAGATATTAAACTTGACAATATATCATGTGTACAACAATTCTATTACATACAAATTATTCTCTTTAAAGCCTGTCTGCACTAGTTTGGCCAGGGAGGGGGGTTAAACCTCCCTGCAAGGTCACTGACATGTGGTTATCTCGACAAATAAACTCTCAATTAACATAAGAAAAAGGGGAACATGGAGGACCAACAGGCACCGATTAGGCATTTTTGCTATATAGAGGGCACAAGTAGCTATAAGTGGTGCAGTTGGGATTTAATATTTGTTATTGCTATTTATCTTTCAATATAATAAGTTTTAACAGGTGGTATAACTTTTCCAAACTGGTATTATATCTGATTTCTACGTTTGGATAAATAGATTTTTTTTCTAACATAAATTGAGATACAATTAAAAGCGTTGTTATGGCCTCCTATCAAGCAAAACAATTTATTTTGGTTTGTTAGTTTGGCCTTTGTATTGGTCTTACTGAAAAACCATTGCTCAAGTTTTGATCATATTATATTAGAATATGGTCAGTAACAAAAAAAATGCATAATTGTCTATTCACCGTTGATACAAAATGTACAATGTTTATCAGTAACTATTTGGAATTTCAGCAATGAATCTTTCATGGAAAGTGTTCTGTTTAAAATCTTAAACTGAAACCACCTCATAGTTATACCAACAATTGACTGATAGGGAATCAGACAATACGAACACCATGCTTTATCTTCTAGATCTAAACCCTGTTTCCAGTTGGTTAGGCTGTTACATTCTTTCACATTCTGTTTTAAGAACCACTGGTAAATATGAGAACATCTTTTTTTCATTTTCAATATCAGAAGTAATGCTTCGGATTCCACCAACTTTGGTATAACACTCTTTTTAAAACCGGCCCGAATAGCATTGCATAACCCATGATATTGAAGGACATTTATTTGTATTTCAAATTTATGTTGAAATTCAAAAAACGAGAGAAACGTACAATCCTTTTTCAAAATGATAAAGATCAGTACTCGCTTCATACACCAAAATTAGAATATATTGTATCATTATGCACTTTTATACTGGGATTATTCCAAAAAGGTTGACATGCAATATTATACCAACAGTGATTTCAATTAACCAGATCTGAAAAGGTAAAAAGCACCTCTTTCCCAAATGGATTATATAGGCGTGGCCGTGGCAATGAATAATTGTTTGTAAAGTTCGGATCCCACACTGCTAAAAATATTGGGCAAAAATTTGCCCAAGCATTGGTCTAATAGTCAACCCAACCAACTGTTGGGTAATAAAGGTTTCATTGAAATTGGGCAACACTATTGCCCAACAAAAGTTGCTTCTTGCTCAACAGTTGGGCAAGGTAATGTGTCAATTGTTGGGTATAATTATTTGCTCATTCGTTGGGTGGGTTGAAAATGGATTAATTGTTGAGCATTATGCTTTGCCTATCAAATGGGGAAAACTTGCCCAACATTATCCCAACACGCTTCAGCATTGCAAGTGAATGCATGGAATAATATAAAACATCACACGTCTTTCTTAGGAATACTTTGAAGTCTTTATTAAACCTCAGTATGTAAACAAATAGTTTGCAACACTTCTCATGAAAAGGAATACTTTGACAATGATTTTCATAAAATAGTAAATACAACATAATAAAAATATGCTGTTTAGCATTGGTCTCATGCATGATCATTATATAGCAAAATCAAACTCACTATATAAATTTGTGATTTTTGTTTCTTAAAAAAAAATATGCTTCTTTGCCAAAATGAATGTGACTAAATTACAAACTGTATCTCTCATCAGGAAACATGATTCAAATTTTGTGAAAAAAAAGATAGAGGAATGTACCTATATGCTTTGGAGGGGATAACTCATAATATGAAATTTGCATTACACAAATTATGAAATATTAATTTTGTGACATCAGTTCTGGAACTTTTCTGACACACCTCATAAATAAAAGAAACTTTAAGTTTGCATTATAACTCAACTATTTGAAAAAAATGTGGTCCATAACAGAGAATAGGGAACCAATGCAAGCCTTGGCAATGGAAAAAGTGGTCCAGCCCATAGTAGCATTATCAAGCTAATACACACTCATGTCTGATATGGTATACAGCAATGCAAATGAAACAACAAACGAACAATAACAATGCAACAATCATTTTGACTTAGGTGCCTTTTACATACAATGAGCTTGCACAAGTTACGCAACTTTTAAGAATACATATAACGTTCAACATTTCACTTCTTTCTACCATTTAAGGCAAATATAACACTGTCTCCTGAAATAACTTGCATAAAATCTATCACTCATGTTCATGGCATACGTCTCATATTAAGTACCTGTTAAAAAAAAAAAAAAAAAAAAAAAAACTGTTGCTACTGTTCATCTTTAATTGAAGTTACCACCAGAGTGCAAGATAATACTTTTGTAAGAGTGAAGCAGAGATGTGTACAATTTCTGGACTTAACTTGGTCTCATATAACTATCTTTAATTAATCGTTCTGTTAATAAGTCCCACTAGAGTACAGGCAGATTTTGGGGGGCCGAAATATTAACCCTATATAAAGAAGTTGTTATAACAGAAGAATTGAACAGAGTTATAGAACCAAATTAATTCCAAACAATTGTTTCAAGTTTAGTAGATCTCATTGGCAACCAGTTCCAACGTTTCTGATATTTTGCATGAATGAAGAATATACTATTATAATGACATATACATGTTTGTGAACACTAGAAGTTGTAGGTTGTAAAACATTTAAATGAGACATGAAAATCTCAGTTATTCTTTTCTTTTAATGCAATGAGTTACAATTTTGCTCGATTATGGTGCCCTCTGACCTCTGACACATATATTACACAAACCTTTCCTCTCAATTTCAGTTTAAAAAGGAAGATTGTATTTTGTATTTGAATATCAATGACTTTTAAACCTAGCAAAATAGCGCACTTACAAATCAGGACTTCTGGATATAAAGTCTTTGAAGTGCACATACTGTCGGTGGGCTGATAAAACCTTGTATCTCAAAAATGTTAAATGTTCAGGAGAGCCAAAAGAGATGGCTGTCTTAACACTAGCCTTCTTTTTACCATGTCACAGTTTCTCTATCTTTTCAGATTGAAATGTAAAATTTTGACAGAACTAAATCTGGTTTTCTTGCCACAAGGTTCTATAATGAAAGAAGAAGCTGAAGTTGGACTATTTAGAACTAGTTCAGTATGTGTCTCTTAGAAGTTTTTAAAGCTTTTAATACAGTAATTGTAATGGATGGAGGAAAAAGGCAAGTTTTTGATAATATCCACTGAGTAATTGACATAAATCTGTTTCAGTTTATCAAATTTCCCAACAAGGTTTCAAACTGAAAGGAAAACTTAACCTCTAATTAATTAAAGAATTCATCTGCATAATAGAAACATGCAGTGAATATAAGGTTACTGTTTACTTTATACATCATTACAAGTGCATCATTGGACAGGACAAGTCTGGTATGTTACACCACACATCTTCTGTACAAAACTGACTCATATTCATGTTTTCTTTGAGAAGAGATAAGCACGGAAACTACTCAAGGCAGGGGTGTCTCTGATACGCTTGTCATCTTGTTCATAGATCATCTTTTGGAAGAAGAGCCAGGTTCCTTCTACGTTGCTTTGATAAGCACAGTCTATGATGAAGTGTGCTTTGTAGCACACATCTACTGCATCTATAAGTGACTTGTGAGGGATGCACTCCTTGTCAATCACCGTGAAAGTCTGCAGAGGCCTGAGCTTGGATAACGAGAACAGTTCAGTGATGAAGGGTTGGGGACGGGTAGTTGGGTCAATCTGTTGCAGGTATGATGGCATGTGAGTGGTTTCCTGAAGAAGAAGAAGAAGAAAAAAAAGACTTATTATATAGTAGGGAATATAGCAGACACACTTTATCAGGATGCCAATTAGCATTTAATGGGAACAAAATTCCCTAATGAAAGTTTACAAAGTTACTTGTTTGCTGAATGTTCAAGCTTTCAACATCCACTGTTTCCAAGTCATTCAGGACTTGTTTAAACAAATTGGTCAGAACATTATTCATCAGTTCTTCAATCTCTCTTACAAGTTTGTCTATGTATGTATGAGGCACAGCAGATGCCTTCAAGCTAGTAAGAAAGAGAAAGAAAGTCTCTTTCAGTGTATCCAACATGTTCCCTGTTTCTTTCTGAGTAGTGCATGTTTCAGCATCATCTGCAGACTCATCTTCAAAAATGTCTTGATAAACTGTTTCATTTTCAACTGACTGAGATCCTTTCAAGTCTGAGCAGTGCTTTGACAAAATATGTCGTTTATATGATGAAATGTATGTAAATGTTTCAGGACATCCATTTTGACTACATATCACAAACACTGACTTTCCAGAAGTTAGTCCATGTATATACTTCAAATGTTTGAATAACTCATCCACCTCCCCTCCTACGTCACACAAGCATCTGAAGCAAATCATGTTAGCGTATATGAAAAGTTAAGAGGCAACTGAACTCACATATTGACTCCAGTGATTCTTGAATTTTAATCTTGCCCCAAGCTTTGGGATCAGCACTTCAATCATTTCATCTGACAGGAGGGCAGCTGCTTCAAGGTCTATCCCATTTTCTGTGAAACAAAGCAAGACGATGTGATTTTGGTAATATTTCATTTATTAGACAGGTCTACTAAAAATGAATGTTGACTTAATTCTAGCTGTTCAGGCGCGGATTCAGGGGGGGGGGGGGGGGGGCGACGGGCCCGGCCCTCCCCCCCCCCCCCCCAATAAAAAAAATCGTTTTGGAGAATGCATGTTTTTTATATGTTTGTTGGCTTGAATTTTTTTTTTAATGCTTATAATACCACCCCCCCCCCCCCCCCCCCCCCCCCACTGAGAGCACTTTCAGCCGACCGGATTATGACCATAAAAATATTGTGTGTAGTTTTTTTGACGGCCAAAGGGCAAAAAAAAAAATCATGCCCTACCCCCCCCCCCCCCCCCCCCCCCCACTGAGAGCACTTTCGAGCGGCCCGATTTTAACCCCAATTCGGGGTCTACCAAAATCTGAGAATCGGCGATCTGCCCCCCCCCCCCCCCCTCATGAAATCCAGGATCCGCCACTGCTGTTATGTGTAATGATTATTTTAAAGTGCAATATATCAGATATCATATGTTGATGCTTTGAACAGCGGTGGGGAGAGAAATTGCCTTTCCTAAAAATTGGTAAGGCAATATTGAGGCAATCTTCAGTGTGAATTAACCTACTCACACTCTATGCTTGACTCGCTTGACTGGCGTGTGGATCGAAAGACATCTGTGATTCTGTCTCTAACATGGGGAGCTGACCGACGAATGTCAATACCGTAAAATGAGAAGCCCCCGAGGAAGAGACAGATCTAGTAATATCAGTCAAAGTTTGTACGTTCCCCAATGATATATATACATTTACAATCCACTAACCATACCAAAAATGGTAAAAGCTGAAAAAAAAACTATAGCTACCAAGCCTTGCAAGGCAATTACAAGGCCTGGCCGGCTGGCCTGGGGTGCAAGGCTGCAGCCTCAGCTATATAGCCAGCCAGGCCCAGGGCCTCGTTTCACACAACTTTTCTACAGGCTAGATTCTACACATATTAAAGTACACGATTTACCATTAATCATTGAGCTACGATTGATATCAATTATACAATCAATAGGTCATTATAATCGTAACTCAAAGCCTCGATGGCAAATCTTACAACTTGCGATTTCTAAGTTAGATCTACTCTGGCCTTATGAAACTGAGCCAGGCACAGCCATGCAGTCAACACACTGCGGTTTAATGGGTTAAACTGTCTCAATCAAATTCTCGAGACTTCAAGTTCAAATTCGTTTAAACAACCTTTTTATATACAAGATTGATTATTAGATAGGTACCTTTGAAGATATCTTGCATCCCTCTTAGGCCCCAACCGATAAGAAGCTGGTCCATAGATGACTTTTCTTGTTCCTGGTTGTTTACTCTTGATCTAGATGCAGATGGTAGTCTAGTCTCCCCGGCTAGTCTCGCATGCATGCACGGTACTCGCATACGGTGCCGGTAGAGTGCGCTGCGAGAATGCTCGTGCAATTAAAATGGCATGGCCGGGGCGATATCTTGTAGACACGATTTGCTAAATAGTTGGATAAGCACTTGTGCTTTGCCCAATTAAATAGGAAAAATTACCACACCACGGTATTCAAAACCCCAACAGTTGGAAACGTAAACAAATACAATATATCATCAAATTATTGGTCAACTTATGCCCAATTATGTTGTAAAGATATTTGACCAACAACAAATTTACCCCATATTTTTTGCAGTGCATAATTATATGGAGAGACAATGACGGAGGCAAAAACGAAAGCAACATAATTATGCTAAGTAAAGTTTTCATTTAATGAGTCATAGATAAATCTTCTGATCCATGATATCTCAAGAGATTTCATAATTATGAAAATATCTGTCATTTTAACTTCACCATCCTTATACAAATGACTCATTTGTTTTCTTCTCATTTTGATAGGTTTATTACCCCATATAAGGAGGCGCGATAGCTCAGTCGGTAGAGCAGTGGTCTGGTGATCCAAGACAATACAACGCACCCTTAGGGTGACACATAATAGGCTATTATGTGTCACACTAAGAAGCGTTTTCATTAAACAATTTTATACATTTCTGAAAAGAAAAGCCAAATTGAAGAAATTCAAAACGTCATAGAGGAATTTATGAAACACACAGAGTCAAATGCCTTTTCGAAATCAATAACGAGTAATTATGTCAGCTTTATCTTCTATTTCCGTGTAAATTAATGTGTCGTATAATATATATTTAAACGTATATTTTACCAATAAATGACCTTTTGTAAATCCCTTTTTGATTTTCGTATATCAAGTAAGACAAAACCCCTTTCAATCTATTAGCTATACAACTGGAGGCTAGTTTATAAATAACGTTAAGGAACTTAAATTGGGCTCCAGTTTTTGATTAAATTTCTAGACAGACTTGTCTATAGACTTCTCTTTTGAAATCAAAGTTATAGTCCCCGATTGTTGCGATTGTGAGGTGTCCTGTGAAATAAGCATAGTTCAATGTCTTTACTATGAAATATTAATATCTTCCCAAAAGAAACGGTAGAATTCCACAGTAGAGCCATCTTGCTCAGGGGATTTATTGTTGTTGTTTTTTATATGTTTTAACATAGTTAACTTCATCAATACTCAGAGGACCTTTGATTGATAAAGACATTATGAAGACCGTGACAATAATTCGGGGATGTCAGAATAATTCAATACAATTTTCAAATAGTATTGCACTTTGTTCACTAACGACATCACCATTTTCTGAAGATAATTTACATATTTCTCTATCAAATTTGTTCTGTTTTTCCAAATTCAGAAGAAAAAAATTACATGACCATGCAGGGAGGTCTAATCCCTCCTGGCCAAACTAGGGCAGATAGGCCTTTTCACACAAAATTGTTTGGAACCAGCAACCTTGACAATTTGGCTAATATGACGTCACACTGCGGTATGTTGTGATATACCGTCGTTCCCAAAGACGTTTGCGTGACGTCAACTTTCTTTCCCATGACATTACGTCAATTTTCTTCCCCATGGCGTGACGTCAACCCATATGACGTCACACTTCGGTCACACCACGTCACACTAGAGTACCGAAGTGTTTGTTTGTTTGTTTTTATTTCCGTATAAAATCATCACAACATACAGATACATACATAAATGAGATATACGGCGGATAGCCCATTTCAGGCGTATTAACAAAATACGCCTGTTCTTCCATGGGGTCCGGATAAGTGTGATATCATACTGCCACAACTTCGTCAAGGTTGCTGGCTCCAAACAATATTGTGTGCCTAAAAATGGCGTGTTGATCACACCAGCGCCAAACCATGAATTCGCCTTGCTCCAGCCGTTGCTTGAATGGTTTCGCGGTGATCCTCATGAGCAGGAGCACTAACAATTAACAAAAAGTACTAAGTCTAGTGATTACAAAAATACAGACTGTGAAGAAAAACATGAAATACATAGATTCATTAAAATAGGTAAAGAAAAAGTATGTATTAAGGGATTTTTTGAAAGAGGTATAAGACAGGTTAATTCTCTGATGGAAAGTAAGATATTGTTACATGTTTTCAAGGCAGCCGCTGGAAGATAAAATAAAATGTTTTGAAACAAACAAAAAGAGACAATTAATTAAGTAGTTGAGAACGTTTTCAACTACAATATTAAACGGATCACGCTACAGAAAGATGTAAATTAATTTGTCATATAATTTCATGACTGTTGATGTTAATCTAAAATACTCATATTACTTGTAATGAGACAGAGTGTGTTTGAGGGGAAGTCTATCCCGATATCAATTTGGTTTTAATAGATGCAGAGAATGAGAGGAACTGGTCAGCGAAAGTTTGAGCAATATTCGATGACAAATAAGAAAGTTATGAATGTTTAAAGTTGGCAACGGTGGAACACAAATTGGCAAAACTGTGGCGTATTTTGCGAGGTCCTCTCCAATTTTCTCTGTAGAGAAATTTCATAAACTTTCGTTTTCTTCGTTATATATAGTTGATGGGATAGATTTGTTTCATATACAGGGGTCGTATAGAAACATATTTTCAATAATTATATTTAGGGTGAATGTATGATTGAAAGTTTTCTGTAGCCGGGAAAATAAACATTTCTGATTTTCTTTTAGTACACATCAAATGTGATAGGAGCTCGCAAGATACGTCAGAGAGTTACCATTTCATGTGTTTGATTAATCACACCTTTAAAATGTTTGAATTGGTTTTTGCTTAAACTTTCAATGACCTGTTTTCCTGATTGTTTTCTTCTATCAGGATGGACTTCTCCTTTAACCACCAATTTCATTCAAAACTTGGGCAGAGTCATATCGTACATCATCAAACTTGCTATACTGTTCAACTCTCCGTGGCCAGATTTAATTGATCATGGTGTCAAATTAAAGAAATCACTATAACCTTTATAGGCTACAATGTGAATATTACTAAATCTTTATGCAAAAGCTGCTTGCTATTAGGGAAAGAATCTGGGTTTCCTTTTACTGGAAGTCACAATGTATATTGTAATGACTTGCATCGCCCAATCTTTAGTTGGTTGAATAGTCTTTTGTTAGTCACTCTATTTACTTTAGATTTACATAAAAATATAACTGAACCATGCAAAGTAATCAACCATCAACTGATTGGTGACTCATAGGATTCCCATCATAGATTGCTAGCAGGGGGCAGTATCCTGAAACATGTTTTTATCTATTGTTCTCAGGTAATAATTTTATGACAACACTTAGCGTAACAAACTAGAAAAGTAAGTGTTGTCATAACAACATAACTAAACTTGAAAGAAGTAAACATCCATTTGTTTGGTGATTCATATAGGATTTCCATCATTCGATTGCTTAATATAGGATTCCTAGCAGGTATAGCAGTTTTCTGAAACATGTTTTATCTATTGTTCTCAGTTAATTGTTATGAAAACACTTAACAAACTAGAAAAGTGTTGTCATGACAACATAACTAAACATATAAGAAGCAAGCATCATTTTATTGGTGATTCATAAGATTCCCATCATTCGATTGCTTAATATAGGATTCCTAGCAGGTATAGCAGTATCCTGAAACATGTTTTATCTATTGTTCTCAGTTAATTGTTATGCCGACACTTATAAACTAGAAAAGTGTTGTCATATCAACATAACAAAACTTACAGGAAACCGATCAAAATGATGTTTGTTTCCTGTAAGTTACAGGAAACAAACATCGTTTGATTGGTGATTAATAGGATTCCCATCATTTGATTGCTTAATAGGATTCCTCAGTAGCAGGTATAGCAGTATCCTGAAACATGTTTTATCTATCGTTCACAGTTAATTGCTATGACAACACTGTATAACACACTCAAAAAGTGTTGTCAAATAAGTGAGTAATGTGTCGTATAATAAACGTATATTTCCCCCATTAAAACGATCCTCTAAAAATCCCTTTTGATTTTCGTGTATCAAGTATTTAAGACAAAACAACCTTTCTATCTATCAGCTGTACAACCAGAGGCTAGTTTACATGATGCTAGTTTATAAATAACGTTAAGCAAGGAAATTGTGCGCCTGTTTTTAATTAAATCTTTAGACTTCTTTCCTTTTGGAATCAGAGTTATAGTTCCCAATTTGTTCGATTGTGATAGGTGCCCTATAAAGACTGCCAAACGGCATGCCAAAGTGTTAAGGTTGCTGGTTCCAAACAATTTTGTGCTAAACAATGGCGTGTGTTGATCACACTAACGCCAAACAAAATTACAGAATGTACGGTGAAGAAAAACATGAAATACAGAGACTCATCAAATAGGTAAATCACATTAAGTAACTGCGGGAAGGGGTATATGTTTTAAAGCGCCCTCTTATAATAATAACAACACTGTTGATCATAACGTTGGTATATATATTTTTTTACCCCAATTTATGGAATTATTTTGACAATGATTTATTCCTAATAGATCTAAATAATAGTATACATTCTCCGATTCAATTAAATAATAATTTGCCAGTGTTTGTTTTGCGTGACTGCTAAAGCATGTGTATGCTACTATGCTTATCAACTAGGGGACCTACGCCATTAAGTCATAAATGACAATAATGAGGATTAATGTCCCACAAAAGGGCACTAATATCCAGGCGCGCCGGAAGCAGTTTGGGATTGGGGGGGGGGGGGGCAAACATTCCAGGGGGCTCACCTTCCAAGGGCAGTGACGTAATGAGAAAAACGTTCGGAAGGGGGAGGGGGGGGGGGAGGCAGACGAAAAATCTGCATCTCCACCAGTCTTACACGTTAAATGCAGGTCCCGTGGAACGATTTTCAAAGTGGGGTATTAACGATCAGGTAGAGCGTAAATTGGCCTGGGGTCCAGGGCATATGAGCCTCGGCAGGGGGTCAAGGGGATGAGCCCCCGGAAGCTCAGGGGTTTTAGGTATTTAATTACGGTTAGATAAGCATCTAGGGGCCTTTTTAAGGCCATTGACGTGTTCCAGG